AAAAACTTTTTGCCACTTTTTCCTCTTTTTTCCTCTCTTTTTTTTTTCTCTCTCCTAATTGGCACCTCAAAAATCACAAAAAAAAACTACTCTTATTGAGGATGTTCTTAAAGCCAGTTTTATGATGACTCGTGACAAGTTTCAATGTCCGGTCCGATGATGTGGTAGACCAATTTAGAATTTATAAATTTATTTAAATTATTAAGACAATTAATTAATCTATAAGTGAATGCGATCTATTGTCTTTTTTAATTGAATAAATCAACTAAAAAGAAATTTAGTTGACAAATAACGACTGAATTTTCTTTTTAACACAAAAAAAAAAACAGTACAATTAGTGGCCCATATCTAAAGTTTAACGACAATTGAACTGGAGTCAAAAGCCCATTTCCAAACTTTACTTCCAGAAAGTTCGGCCCATTTTCGTTGTCGTCTTCGCAGTCTCTGTGTCTCGAAGCTCCATTTCAACTTCTCCTCCGTATTAGCAAAGCTTTTGTGGTCGGCTCGCGCGCGCGCGCTTTCTTGCATAAGCAGCAGGAGTTATGGCGTTATGGATGGAAGCAGGTTCAGAGCCAAAGACGGACACAGAAACTGCCGACCTTGATGCCATAGCTGCTCTCAAAGAGTCCGCTGCCGTCGAACTTAAGGTTATCTTTCTTCCCTGGAAAAAAAATAGTTTTCCGTGTTTAAGAACGGACATTTTGACACCCTAATTGTCTTTCAGGAAAAGGGGAATGAGTGTGTGAAGAAGGGGAAGAAGTATTATTCTGATGCGATTGATTGCTACACCAGGGCAATCAATCAAAAGGCTTTGAGCGATGCCGATCAATCTATTCTTCATTCCAATCGAGCTCATGTTAATCTACTATTGGGGAATAATAGACGAGCTCTGCAGGATGCTGAGGAGGCAATCAAACTTAACCCAGCTAACGTAAAGGTTGTAATATATATATATATTCTGCTGTTTGCCATACAATTAGTTTGTCCATTTTCGTGCCCAAGCAGCTTAGTTTGTTCCTGAGGATAGATTGTGAGCCATTGGATCGAGCTTAGTTAGTTCGTGGTAATAGATTGTGAGCCATAGGATCGGGCTCTTGCATCCTGGCGGGCAACTCAGTTGGTTCCTAGTCGATCCTAAGCCATAGGATCGAGCTTTGGCAGTCGTAGTGTGGGAGTTACACTCGATGTAGTTTCTTGTGGGCACCAGACACTAGTCCTCTCGCCTAATTGACCACTGAGTTACCATGATTTATCACTCCAGTGTCTGGTAGGCCGGGGGTGTGGGGCAGGGGCAGGGGCAGGGGCGAGGGAATTTTGCCGGGGTAGTTTGTCAATTGTTGTTACTTGTTTTTCCCCTCTGCGGAGCTCTTCGTGATTATTGATGCATATTCCATTGTTTAGGCATTTTACAGAGCAGCCAAAGCATCAGTGTCACTAAATTTGTTGGATGAAGCAAAATCATACTGTGAAAAGGGGCTTGAGCAATCCTCTTCTAATGATGATTTGAAGAAGCTGGCCAAGCAAATTGATACTCTCAAGTATGAACAAGAACGCCGTGAAGCTGAAATTTCTAAAGCCATTGCAGCTGCTAAGGTCTACAATTCTCACTCTTTGGAATGGGGGAAGCAGTGTAGTCCTCAAGCAAGAATCTCTTAGCTTGTTTTGTGAATCTATGCAGGGTCTCATCTCTGCCTTTGAGGATAGAAACTTGAAGATTGGGAAGGCAATGTATCGAGAACTCACTGGATTGAAGAAGCCAAGACTAGACAAAAATAATATTCTTCACTGGCCCGTTGTTCTTCTGTATCCAGAGGTTATGTCTAGCGACTTCATTGAGGATTTCTGCGAGACAGACATGTTTTCAGCTCATCTTGACATGATATCCTTTTTGCTTCATTCTCTGTTTCTGTATTTTAATTTTTGAGTGTATATTAGTTCGGTATGCAAACCGTTTTCATATGACTGAACCTTATTATGTATCTTTAATAGATTCTTGCAATCCTTAGCCTTGAAACATGTTTTCAGAAGATTGTCCTCCTTTGACATGGGATGAAGGAAATGCTTATACTCGTGATGCTCTTGAGCTGTACTGTAAGGTATGATATTGCTTGTTCTATTTCTACCTTTGGTTTTGAAATATGGGTTTTGAAATACTGAAATGAACAGTCTGCATTGTGCTTCAAATAATATTATCAGAACTTGAGAATAATATTTTTTTTTTAAAAAACATATATCTCATTCTAAGGAAAACCTGTCCAGATATTACTATAGTATTTAGCAAATCTCTTTGTGGGTGGCAATAATCTTCATTGAGCTTCAGAGCTGGATAATTTCTTTCTCTTTTAGCTAGTCAAGAATTTTGTTCTACTCTCTGAACTTACTTAAAAATGAAACCTTTGGTAAAATTGAATTTAGATTTATTGCTTTCTTTTACTTTATTTATGAGCTGTGTGCATATTGGAATCTTGCTACAAATAATTGATAAATTTTGTTGGCTGCTTGGTTTTTTGTTTGTTTTTTTGTTTTTTTTTTTAAAGGACTATATATATTGGGCCTGTCTGATAGGCAAGGTCACGAGTTTTCCTTTTATCTCCAACTCAAAGCTTTTATCTCTGTGAAGCTGGTTCTTCTGCTTTTGTTTCTTAATGCCATACATGTGATCTGTCAGGCTGGTTCTGAAGTCCCTTTATCCAAGAAAGAACTTCTTCGTTATCTACTAGAGGGAACGACTGCTTCTCATTTGGAAAGTTTTGATGATGAGGATATAAATGCTGCTCAAGAATCAACTAGCTGCAGTACTTCACTTGGTATGTATTTCTGAATTCTCATGTTCCAAGAGAGAAGTTCTCCTTCATCACCCTACCTCAGAACATTTCAGTCGAAAAATATTATGTTGCCCATAATGCGATCAAGGCCCAGAACCTAGGCTATTTGGTTTTAGAAACATTAGTACATGGAGAAGGCCAAATATTTATCCTTTGATTGGTTACCAAATGCTGCTTGTGCCCGTTTACTTTGTATCTGATTCTTGGCATTCTTCCCAGGCAATAACCCCAAGTGGGTGAAAGTTGATGAGAGGAGGACACTTCACAATGTACTGAAAGAACCAAATCTTGTAATCCCCGGAGTTCCTGGTATTCACAACTACCCCCACTTTAAAGATTAGAACTTAATCCTCTCTTTTTCTTCTTGTTATTCATCTATTTTCTAATGTTTGTTGCAGTGTTTTTTGTCGTTTCAAGGAAGTCCAGCTTCTATAAAACCTTCAAATCTGGAAATTGGTCTTTCTAACAGGTTGCATGACCAAATTCAGTTTGTTCAATTGGAAGAATTTCACAGTGCCATCAATATCCTCCCAAACGCATTTCATGCCACCTAGTTAAATCCTTAATCCACTGTATATTAGCTACTATAAGTTAGACCAGTGAGATTGCTCAATCTTGGCATTTGAACCATCTTTTGTCATGGAAGTGTTGCAAGTTATCAATTCAACAATTTTGACTCTTGTTTAAAGATGCTACAAGATTCACTACTGACATGGCGGTTGGGCAATAGGCGGTTCCCTTTGGGAGTTGAATTTCAAACTCTGTGATTATTAAGTCAACAACTTGATTAACTTAGCTGAAGTTGTCGCCATAAGTTTTGCATTCTAGGGCTTTAATAGGCCCGTTCTCATCGGGAATCAAATTTGTAACATTGTGATTACTAAGTCTAACATTGTGACCAACTTGGCTATATTTGTCTTCAGAAGTTTTGCATTTTAGGGCTATAGTGACAGGATGCATTTAGGATACAGTTTGATTAATTCAAAACAAAGTTGATAGTTTGTTTTAGTGACAATGCTTTGGATTTGGAGACATTGACCCTGTTTGGTAAAAAATTGGCCTATAGGCCAATTTTGACTTATTCGACCACTATTAATTGTTTGATTTAGTTAAAATATCAATATAAATGTTTGGCTAATTAGCTTTTTGCAACTCCAAAAGGCTAAAATTCAAAAAGTTATTCCAAGCAATTTTTTTAATTAGCTTTTTGAGAAAAGAAATTATACCAAACAGCTATCAGCTAACAGCTAATTTACCGAACACTTTCTACAATCAGCTAATGTTATCAACTATTTATACCCTCTAATTAACACAATCAGCTAACAGCTATCAGGGCAATTTATATCCTACACGATGGTGCGCGTTGCACTATGCGCCCAGATGCAAACGACGTCGTTTTAATTATTTTTTTTAAAAAAAAATTCTCGCCCCAGTGAATGGCAGTAGTTTTTTCTTAAAAAAAACCCGCTGTTCAAGAATGTACATAATGTTATACTAGAATACACATAATGTTATACATGAATGTACATAATTATATAACAAAATATACATACTCTTTTTAAAAGATAATACACATAATCTAACATAATACACATAAACTCTTAACATAATACACACAAATTTTCTGATTCGGATGTACATAATTGTATAAAAAGAATGTACATAATTGTATAAAAAATACACATAACTGTATGAACCAATACACATAACGTTGTGAACAAATACACATAATCTCAGCAACTTCCTACCGTGCCTCCCAACACTACCCCAAAACGACGTCGTTTTGGGAGGCGCGCGGCGCACAGTGTTATGTGCGCCGTGGTGTAGGATATAACGATTGAGCTATCAGCTAACAACCATTTTACCAAACAGGGCCTTAGTCTATTAGTCAATTTTGGCTTGTTTGATAGTTATTATTTATTTGACTTGGTTAAACAACTAATATGAGTGTTTAGTTAATTAGTTTTTTGTAACAGTTTATTGCTCTAAAACATTATTCAAAAGACGGTTCAAAACATCTTTTTCGATCAACTTTTTAAGACAGTCATTTTCTATGTAATCAGTTAATAACTAATTTACCAAATATTTTTTTACAATCAGCTAATGCTATCAACTTTTAATAGCTATTTATCAAACAACTCCAGTATTTGATTTACTCATTCACTACGATTTAAAGGTGAGGATAGATGCCAGACTTTTGGGTTTTGGCCGGGTTCAAACCTTTATAATATGATATGGAGAGCCATAATTGAAGTAGAATGGAGAGAAAATAGGGGCATTGCCTTAACCCACTACTCCACTAGCTCCAATCTGTTTAAATTCTTGAATCGTTCAGAATCTGTGGTGGCGAGTTGTAACTAACCCAGGAATCTCTGGTCTGTTTCATTTTTTTTAGCTTTCGATCTGGATCTCATTCTCCCCTCCTAATATATACCACTAGCTTCCATCCTCACCCTCCACATTTCTTGATTTTCCGATGGCCACTTCTACTTGCTCCGATGTTAATCTAACCCTACTTCTCAGTGGAGCCGCCAACGCCACGGCCGCGGCTCAATACATTTGCGATCAATTCAACGGCGTGAAAGACAAATTCGCCGACACTGGCCACGCCGTCGACACCACCTTCCTCCTCTTCTCCGCCTACCTAGTATTCGCCATGCAGCTCGGCTTCGCAATGCTTTGCGCCGGCTCGGTGAGGGCGAAGAACACTATGAACATAATGCTGACGAATGTGATCGACGCTGCCGCCGGCGGCCTCTTCTACTTCCTCTTCGGCTTCGCGTTCGCCTTCGGCGGCCCGACCAACGGCTTCATCGGCCGCCAGAACTTCGGCCTCACGAGCATGCCGTCGGAGTCGTTCGACTACGGCTACTTTCTCTACCAGTGGTGCTTCGCCATCGCGGCGGCCGGGATCACCAGCGGATCAATCGCCGAGAGAACGCAGTTCACGGCGTATCTGTTGTACTCGTCGTTGTTGACCGGGTTTGTTTACCCGGTTGTGGCCCACTGGTTCTGGTCCGGGGACGGGTGGGCCAGTCCGGCGAGAAGCGATGGGAATCTTCTGTTGGGAACCGGAGTTATTGATTTTGCCGGTTCAGGGGTTGTTCATTTGGTCGGCGCGGTCGCCGGTCTATGGGGCGCTGTTATTGAAGGCCCCCGGATCGGCCGGTTCGACCATTCCGGAAAACCGGTTGCGATCAAGGGCCATAACGGGTCGTTAGTGGTGTTAGGCACGTTTCTGTTGTGGTTCGGTTGGTACGGGTTTAACCCCGGTTCATTCGTAACCATCTTCAAAGCCTACGGAAATAGCGGCGCATATTACGGGCAGTGGAGCGCCGTCGGGAGGACAGCGGTAACCACCACGCTCTCCGGCTGCACGGCGGCGCTAACGACTCTATTCGGGAAAAAGGTCCTGATCGGCCACTGGAACCTCACCGACGTCTGCAACGGCCTCCTAGGCGGGTTCGCCGCGATCACGAGCGGCTGCTCGGTGGTGGATCCGTGGGCCGCCGTCGTGTGCGGCTTCGTGGCGGCGTGGGTTCTCATCGCCTGCAACAAACTAGCCGAGGTACTCCAGTACGACGACCCCCTGGAGGCGGCACAGCTCCACGGCGGGTGCGGCGCCTGGGGGATCATATTCACCGCCCTCTTCGCTAAATCCAAGTACGTGGACGAGGTGTACCCCGGCAAGCCAGGGCGGCCGCACGGGCTGATCCTCGGCGGCGGAGGGAAGCTATTAGCGGCGCATGCGATCCAGATTGTGGTGATCGTTGGGTGGACGAGTATCACAATGGGTCCGTTGTTTCTTTTACTGCACAAATTAGAGCTTCTGAGGATACCGCACGACGATGAAATGGCGGGTATGGACCTCACCAGCCATGGCGGATATGCTTACAATGACGACGATTTTGGAGAGTCCAATAGAAGAAGGGAATTAGCCATGGTTCAGCAGCAGCAACAGCAACAGGTGGTTTAGTCTGTAAATATATTGCATAGGAATAATTAAGGTAGAAATTTTTGTACTAATCAGATCAATAAATGAAACATTGTTTTGATCCAAACGTAAAAAACACAGTGAATCTCCGGGGTTTAGCATAAGTAATTCGTATGATGAAAAACAGTAGTGTAGGAGTTTGAATTTCAGTAAAAATATATGAAAAAAAGGTTTAATTGGATCCTTTGTGCACAACTTATGAGTTACCTTCACAACGGTTTTAGAAACAACTTTTTAAGATTAGTACAGTCAAATCACAACATCTAAATGAATGTGTCAATAATAATAATAATAATAAAACCAACTTTTTAAGATTAGTACAGTCAAATCACAACATCTAAATGAATGTGTCAATAATAATAATAAAACCAAACTTACTAAGTACACTCCTTGCATCAAACAGATACACATTGCTTAAAATTTGTATATTCTTGATCATCGAGTTGATGAAATTTAAGTTGATTGTTGGATAGAAATGATATTTTGTGGTATAAATATTTGTGGGGTTCATTTCCGGTTTGGTTTAGGTCAAAGTAGATTTGTAGGGTTTTGTTGGGGGATTTTTGTTGTGACACGAAGAAATTGATATATTCGTTGTGAGACGAAGAAATTGATATATTGTACGCTCAAGACGGAGTTGGAAATGGAGGTGGTAAGACTTTGTAAAACCACATGTGTGACATATATATATATATATATATATATATATATATATATATATATATATATATATATGTTGGTTTTTGAGTTTTCGGGCCCAAGGAGGTCAAACACAACCTTTGGTTGGTGGATTCACCTTTCAAAAAGTGACGCGAAGAGGAGTAGTCGGATGGTTAGAAAGTGTGTGTATCTTACTCTCTGGGCATGGACTCTCCCCTTACAAGTGTGGAGGGGGCCTTTATATAGCAGGCTCCCCTCCATTCGGATTGAAGTACATTAATCATTGCTTTCAAGGCTATTTACACTATCAGACCGTTCGGTCGCTGTTACCGAGTCGACCAACGGCTCTTTGGCCTCTTAACGGCCCTTTTGACCGAGTCCTCTTGAATGTCGCATTGAGTGTTCCTTCAACGGCTCTTAGACCGACTTGAATGCTTCTTACTTGCTTCTGGGCCGAGTCTCCTTCCTTGCTTGGGCCCGGACCGACTCCTGGACTCAGCCCAGGCCCACATCGGGCTTCTTCTTTTTACCGACCCTTGTCTTCTATCTTGGGCTTTTTCTCTCTTGGGCTCCTCTCTCGTGGGCCCCTCTTGGGCCGGGGTCCTCACCCCATCAATATATATATATATATATATATATATATATATATATATATATATATATATATATATATATAACGAGTTGGAAATGAAGGTCGTAAGGCTTTGTAAAACCACACGTCTCACATTGGTTTGGTAGGTGGATTTGTCCCACTATATATATATAAGTCTTTTAGAATGAGGTAGAGGCTCTCTCTAAATTCCAGAATGAGGAGCCTTTTGGCCTGATTTTGAACTCTCAAAATCTTTGTTTTCTCTTTTCCTCTATCAAAATTATTTTTCTACGAGAAATTTCTGCCAATACTTCCGTAAATTGTAGGAAGTACTCAATCTTTGTTCTAGTTTGACGGACCTTTTGTTTGAGTGCTCAAACTTAAAGCCGTGATCCATTTTATGATTTTTATCATAAGACTGTACTGACGCTGCAATGCTGCTATCACTTTTGGAAGGTAGCGAATCAGTTTTTAAAAAAGTTTGTTCGACTTGAATCTTTCCTTGTTTTTGTTTAGTCATGATTATCAAATATTTATTTGACAATCACAATTAATTTTGAATATTAACTCCTGTTCCATAAACACAACAGTCTTGCATCCCTTGCTATTCCATGTTAGATTGATGGTCCATGCTTACCCAAAGGCCCTTCCCTCAATACTTATACTGTGGAATGGTGTTGACCATGTGGTGAACACAGGATAGATCCATAATTTCTAAGCTGTAAATTCATAATTTTTATACAATAGATTCATAATTTTTATATTGTAGATTCATAACATCTATACTGTAAATTCATAATTTTTATATTGTAGATTCATAATTTCTATACTATAAATTCATAATTTATGTACTGTAGATGTTGTTTAGGATTTTTAGGCCCATGAAAGTCTAACACAACTGTGGTTGGTCTTTCAAACAAAGCTATAAACTTGTGGGGCAAAATGGCTATAACTTCTTGTATATTTCCTAGTATTCTCTTTGAGCAACTCGACTTGGCTCCCCCCTACACTCCCTGAATGGCCCCTTTTATAGTGGGTCACCTTGGCTAATACTGAATGTGTACATTAAAGTGTCTTAATGTGGCCTCATTACACCTAAGGGCCGTTGGACTGTTGTTACTGGGCCTCTAAACGACCTGTTTGACTGAGCTTTGAAGGAGCTCTTTAAATGCCAACAGTTATTTTTACCGAGTCGACCCCCTGCTCGTGCCGACTCCCTGCTCGCGCCAACTCCCTGCTCACGTCGACCGCCCATGTGTGCCGGCCTCCTGGGCTTGTTTCCTGGCTATCTTTTGGGCTTTCCTTTCTGGTTTTCTCATGGGCCCAATGTGCTATTTCATCCTGCCTCCTTTCTTCTTCGGGCCCTAAGTCAACTGGGTCCGTACCCCATCAGTAGATTTATAATATCTGTACTGCAAAGACGAAATAATGCAATTGCAAAGAAAGAAACGCCGTTAACAATAAGTGAAAAATAAAATTATAAATCTACAGCATAGAAATTATGTATCTACCGCATGATGAACACATTTGCACAGCATAATTTGCGGCCTTCCCTACCTTGGGCTAAGGCCTAGGGCCTTGCTTAGTTGAAGTTCCTTTTCGGACCTATTATGATAAGAGGATATACAAGTGATTTGATATTCGGTCCCATTCCGAATAGTTGGCCCAAATCTGTTTCACTGTTTGTGTTCGAAACGACAAATCTGAGTATCTGACGGCTTTAAGTGTCAAAATTAACATACTAAAACCAACAATCACCATTATATTGATCATTGGTCAGCCGGACAGCCGCGAGCATTTTTTAAATTCTTAAATTTTGGTCAAGCACTTTATGATCAGATACACATCTGTAATTCCTTTTGAAGGAAAGTTATAGGATTAAACTTCGGTAGTGGGATATTAACTTTTTGGGACTGCAGTAGTTGAGAAAGTATATAACAAATACCCTTGTAATAGAGTCAATAGTATTAAAAAAAATCTTAAATTTTGGATGAAAATCATAACTTGTCTATATGTACTTTGCTTACTAGTTCAATAGACAATATTTAGGAGAATAGACAAGGTTCGAACCTTGTTGCTGGAGAATAGACAAGGTTTGAACCTTGACAGCGACAGTGTAAGTGGACATGTCTAATGAGTCAATTAAGTCGCCGTGATTTAATCCCTTCTAAATACTCTATCGGGCCGAATTGAGATTTAACCTTTTGGGAAAATATCATAACTTCCCCATAAGGCAAATTATTGTATGGACCATGAATATCAGGTACAATTTTAATATATTAAAAGTACATTATTTTTGTACTGGAGGTGCATTATTTTTGTATTGAAGATACATTATATAAAATAATGTACCCTTAGTATATTAAAAATGTACTTTCAAAAAATATACCTTACGTACATAAATAATGTACCATTAGTATATTAAAAATGTACTTTTTATTTATAGTCCACACAATTGTGTGGATCATGGTCCATGCAATAATGATTATCCCCATAACTACCCGTAGTATTATCTCCAATATAATATACCTAGCATTCCTATCCCCTCACTTACATGCAAATATGCAATGTGTGTATATATTCTATTTCTATATTCATTTAAAATTCCTAAAGTCCGATTATATATATATTCTTGAATTGGTGGCTAAAACTACTTATTCCCTAACGTGAAAATGGGTTTCTAAAAATCTCACACGCAACCCAACAAAAACTGAGTATTTCATGCAACCTATATATAGCTAGGTTGGAAAGAGTCAAATGTGTACTGTTCATCAACAAAGCCATATTTTATTTATACGCTTCATCTCACATATCACTGTATATTTCTATATACAAAGCTTCAATCTAAGGGTGTGTTTGGTTGGTGGGTTTTGCACATAGGAATGGGCATCAAAGTGTTGTTGTTGTTTGGTTAATAGGATTTTAGAACACTACTATGGGTTTCGAATATCCCATCAATTGAAAAACTCATACCCAAATAAAATAAGAGTTTCATTCCCTTATTCATTTTCAAGCACTACTATTAGTAATCATTCTCATTCCACCCTACTACCAAACATGTTAAGGGTGTGTTTGGTTGGTGGGTTTTGCCCATAGGAATGGGTATGAAAGTGATTGTTGTTGTTTGGTTGACATGTTTTTAGAACACTACTGTAGGTTTCGAATACCCCATCACTTGAAAAATCCATACCCAAATAAAATAAGAGTTTCATTCCCTTATTCATTCTCAAGCACTACTATTAATAACCGTTCTCATTCCACCCTACTACCAAACATATTAAATACTTTCACCAAAATTCATTACCAATACCAAATATTTGATACCCATTCCGATTCCAATTCCTATGTGCGAACCAAACACACCCTAAATACTTTCACCAAAACCCATTACCATTACCAAGTATTTGATACCCATTCCGATTCTGATTCCTATGTGCGAACCAAACACACCCTAATTTTAATCTAATTCTGCGACCTCAATTTCTAGATTTATTTGTTGTATTACATAATTTGAGCTCTTACCCTGTTTGTCATTAAAAGAATGTTTTAAATACAAACTTTCAATCACTGAAGCATTGGCACAACAAAGCCATATTTTGTTCATTTATCAACATAGCCATACACAAAGTTACTTGTCGCTCTTCATTATCTTATAAAATTTTAATTTTGTCAATTCTTAATAGTAGCCACCCATAAGGATCATGTGACTATACACAAACAAACCATAATTAATCATCCTTCACTTTCAAAATCCCCATTTCAGTCACAAAATCTATATCCCCACACTAGCTTCCACTTTATTAGATATTAGACAAAAGGCAAGTGAGGTGATATTGGTTAATATAAGTTAATTCCATAAATCGTTTGTATTTAGTAGGAATCTAATTCAATCGTCCTATTTTAACTTACTATGATTAAAGAAGTATATATAGCTATTAACTTTCTTTAAATTGGTTGATCAATTTAGCTAAGCCTCAACTCTGAAGGTGCATGTGATGTGCTTTCCTGTTGTGTAGTTTTTCATTAAACTAGTTTTTTTTTTTTTTTTTTTTTTTTTTTTTTTTTTTTTTTTTTGTGGTTCATGTTTTGATTACTTTTTATAATACTTTTCTGGCCTGTTTGTTTGCAGACAAAACATATCATAGTGCATGCTTTGTTCTAAAAGTGCTTCATGGTGGGATTATCAAAAGAACACATGTTGATGTGAGATGATTGGTTTGACTATGTTTTTGCTAATGATTTTGCAGTTAATGTAATAATGTGAGTAATGGATAATTTTGGGAGAAAAAAAGGTGTTTTTTTTTACTATAATATTGGGTAGAGTGATGACAAAAATGTTGAAATACAATCAATTTAATAGTTATATTTGACAATTCAAAATATGAGTTCGATCACAATATTTAATGCTCATATATGGGTTGTCACAATATTTGACCATAGCTAATGATTAAGGAGTATAATTTATAATGCTTAATTTTTTGTGATGGCTTGCTATAAATAAATAGGATTTTCATACGAAATACAGATCTAATTTTAATTTCTTTTTTTAATGTTATTGATTCTATTACAAGGTAATATATGTTTTATATTTTCTCTAACTAATGCAGCTCAAAGAGACAATACCCTATCATTGCGGTTCGATCCTGGACCTTCTCTCATGGAGAGCCACAGAAGTGCCAATACGGATCTAATTCTAATTATTTCATATTGTTTCAATTCGCTTGAAGATAATTGACTCCAACTCTTTAAACACTATGGTCAATAGTATTTGATAGCCAAGCTAAGTACAACTACATATTATTTACTTTCATTCTTTCCAAAAGGTTGAACCCCAACCCTAAGTGTTCCCACACCCCGACCCGACAGAGCATCTGGAAGGATGTAAATCATGGTAACTCAACTGAACATGAATCACAGAGGCTAGACCTTTGCTTACTGCACACATGGAGCCCTCCTCATTTTGAGAGGTTGCTCCCACACTGCCGCTGATACATATTATTTACTTTCATAAATATCTTACTCGTGACATATGTAGTGCTTATTATAGTAGCCTTAATTTTGATTTTTTTTTTCAAATTTTGTGGTGGATGTAGGAGAGAGGAGCAAGAGAAGAGATAATGAAATTGTATTATTGTATTATTGTAAATATAAGTTTTCTGTGGGATTCACCACAGTCAAAAAATGAAAAATAAAAACTATTCTCTCAAGCAGTTACATTGATTGCACTTACTGCGTGTATGCACGTGTCAACGGGCTGCGTAACACGAACAATTTTATTTCTTAATTTTTTTTTCTATCCCTCCTTCTCTCTTACTTCACTTCTAAAAACTTATGGAAAAAAAAAAATCAACACTAATCAGTTTGTTCTAACAGCCCATTTGGTTCGTTGAAAAATATTTGAAGATGAACAGAATTGAAATTTAATTAAAAATATATTCCAAAAAAATAGATTCCATTATTTAGTTGGTGATAAACAAATTACTGGGAATATGACTTTCATTGTTTAGTTGGATTTGGAATGGTAAGGAATAATAATGAGTATAATAACAAATATAACCCTACACAAAAACAACAACAATAATAATAATAGTAATAATAATAATAATAATATAATAATAATAATAATAATAATAATAATAATAATAATAATAATAATAATAATAAGAGTAATTAATAAAGTATGGTAATGGCAAAATTATCATACTAGTTTTTCATGGAAAATTTTTTTCATGAAAAACAAAATACCTAGGATGAGTTAGGAAAACGAATGAGGAAAACTTTTTCCAATGAAAAATATTTTTCATCCATCTAAATAACATAAAACACCATTTACCTCTACTTTTAAGAAAATATTTTTCATTGAAAACAAAATACCTAAAATGAGCTAGGAAAAGTTCCTCATTCTTAAGAAAAAAAAAATTTCAATAAAAAATATTTCCAATTCAATCAAACAACATAAAATATTATTTTCTTACACCATTAAAAAAACATTTTTCACGAAAAACATTTTTCATGAAACAGCCAACCAAACATCCCCTCCTCTAGTCTTCCATTAAATGATAAGATTATGTGTGTTGACCAGTCAAAGGGCATTTAAAGCTGTTTTAAAAAAGAGAGATTCTCTCTCACACTCGCTATGAGTTGAGTTTGACCATATTAAAAATACACATTTTTTTGGGTGTTCTTTGACTACCAAAAAGGAAACACACAATAAATGTTTTTCCTAAAATAATGTTATTTTTTTCCTCCAGTACCCAATTTTGAGAATTTTAATTTATGAAAAAACACCCCAGTACCTGATTATAAGTTATGAGTGAAATTCACTTTATAACTTTAACTATAACCATAAACTGATAAACTAACTTAGAATGTTCAATTAGAGCATCAACAATAAAAATTTTAGTGTGATTTTTGAGAGAATTTTTGTTGAAGTGTAGGAGAGAGAAATAAAAGAGAGGGTTTTGAATTCTCCTGCAAGCACTTGATTTTTCATCCGTCCCAGATATGAAAGTGAAGCTTTGTTGTTCGCGTGAAGCATACAACAGGGTCCAGTCGGGCGTGTGCACTGCACGCGCCCCTGGGGCGTAAAACCTTTTTTTTTTTTTTTTTTTTTTTGCCCTAATAGTTGTTATGGTTTTTTTTTTTTTTTTTTGTTCTCACTTTGTTCTTTCCTTGTAATATGACAAAAACATTTAAAATCTATGCCTACTGAGGATGCTCTTATGCACGGGATCAAATTAAGAAATCTAATAAATAGATAGAGTAATCTTGTGGTTAGCAACAACTATTATGAATTTCCCTTCAAAAAAAAAAAAAAAAAAAAACTATTATGAGTTTGGACATGGTATTAAAAACTGAATCTACTCAATAATCAGATATAAAATGAAATGGGGGAAGTGAAAATGGGAAGATGAAATTAACATTAGCCTCTTAATTACCTATTGAAAAACCAAAGCGCAAAAAACACTGCAAGTTTATGATGAGTCTGTGAGATGTGAATTTCCAGAAATTTACCAAAACCAAGAAAAGAAAACACTACATACGATCTGATCATCATGAAACGATGATTATATATTATTATTACTAGGAAGAAGAAGAAGAAGAAGAGTCAAACATGTAGTGTTTATCGACGGCGACGGACACGTCCCAGGTGCAACTGAGTCCTTTGGGTATAACCACCAGGTCGCCGGCGCCGAACTCCACCGTCTCCGATGATGTCGTGTTCTTCGGGTAAACCTTAACTTTTCCCCTCAACAGATAACACGTCTCCTCCGCGTCAAATTTCAGCTGATACTTCCCCGGCGAACAACCCCATCTGTTTTTTTTTTTTTCCCAGAAAAATAATAATTGATATTTAAGGAAAAAAGAAGAAGAAGAAGAAAAGTGTAACGTGAGAGAGAGAGAGAGAGAGAGAGAGAGAAAATGGGTTACTTGGGCCAAGATTTGATGCCGAGCTCAGAAAGTTGGGCGTCGGATACGTTTTTCTGGACAGTGATTCGGAGATTTGACGATGAGGTGGACTCGGCGGCCATGAAAGCTAAGCTTCGAAGGAGATGCTGTATTTACAGATGTCTGCACTCTCTTCTTCACTACTCCGGGTGGGTATTTTATGTGAAGAAGAAGAAGAAGAAAGAGACAGCTTTAAACCGGAAAATGAGAGAGAAAGAGAAACCGAAAGAAATATATATATATATATATATATATATATATATATATATATATATATATATATATATATATATATATATATAAGCAACTTACCAAAGAGGATGGGTGTGTGTGTATGTAGATAATCATTTTTTAATCTCATTTGGTAGAACTAATTATAAGCCCAGGACTCGCCAAGGACCTTGTGGTCTAATGACACCAAGTTACTCCCTCATAGAGAGGTTGTGGGATCAAGTCTCAATGAATACGATATTGCAAGCTAGTGGCATAATTCAGTCATTTTTTGTGGGATCAAGCCTCAGTAGATACGATATTGCAAGTGGCATAATTCAGTCATTTTTTGTGGGATCAAGCCTCAGTAGATACGATATTGCAAGTGGCATAATTCAGTCATTTTTTTCCTCATTTATGTTTTCAGTGAAATTCAAACTACCACATTGTCACATTCAATCGAACATCAAGTTAGGTGCGAACCACTATGTTAAACTTCGGGGGCAACCAATATTTTCCTATTGTGAGTGAGTGAGTCTGTCTTAATTCAATGTAATTCAATCATTTTTTTCCTCATTCATGTTTTCAGTAAAATTCAAACCGTCACATTGTCGTATTCAATCAAACATCAAGTTAGGCGCGAACCACTATGTTAAGCTTCGGGGCAACCAATATTTTCCTATTGTGAGTGAGTATATGTCTCTCTCTCTATGTTTTCATGTAACAGCAATTGATTTTTCATAAATCAAAGTGAATATTAATTAGAGAATGATTTTAGTAAATAAAAATAACATTTCTTTTCTATAAGTCTTGAAGTTTGAAGGTCCAAAACCAATTTTATTAGTCTAAATAACTAAACCAATTAAGTTCATTGTATCAAAGTCTCAAGATGTAAAACAAATAATTTTAATGTATATATTATGACAAGGTCAACATAATTAATATTTAATATGCTTAACATGTAAATTTCTTTCCTACCTTACATATTAAATAGTAATCAAACCAAAATTGATAACGTCTTTATTTTATTTTATTTTAAATGAAGGTATATAATGGAGGTTATTAATTAACCTGTCAAATATTAATGTATTAAAATAAATTATTAATCTAAACAAATATGTCAAGTGCTATATGTCTCAAATCATACATCCTCCCGCTGCGAATTGCTAGTAAAACAAAATTTATATAAGTTTTTTGACGATATAGGTACTGACGCTCAAGTCAAAGCTATATATAGACGATATGAGACTATATTATTGCCCATCTCGGACTCCCAAATGATAGGACAGTCAAAGTCACGACTCTAACTCCACCATAAAAGCTAACTCAGAAGTGAAGATTTAATCCCGACTTAAATTTCACTCCACAATCCCTTGTAGGGTTGGTCACTTTCATCCCGATAATTCATTCATGTTCGTGTTGTTGCATGATACATTGATACTTACTTTTAAAACAAAACATCTTTAAAATATTAGGTGCTTATGTAATCAACAATTTTATATTATTAACACATATAATTAATTTAAAATGTTATCAACCTTATTGCTAAAGGAGTGGCATTAAAAAATGTGTTAATTAAAAAGATTGTCTTACCACTTGTTTTGGTTCTAACTCCTTATATATATGTTGAACCTACAAGAAATGGAACATTTATATTATGATGGAGAATGCCATATATGTTTTAAACCTATGCTTTATCAAGCAATTATTTTAAAGATAAGATCTAAGATAAGCACTAAATATGTATCAAATTGATAATGTTTTTTTAAAGGAAAATTAAATGATTTTTTATTAAAAAAACAATTTTCGTTTTTTATTTCTGTCCGTTGTTACTTCTCGTTCTCAATTGTTTGTGAGGTGGCTTGTTTTGTTTATGAGTTCTATTAGGGTTAGGTTAAAATAGTTATTTTGCAAACAACTGGGGATGAAGAAAGTTATTTTTTTAGATAATTGAAGAACAAAAAATGACAATGATATGATCAAGTGTCTCAAACTACTGAATTTAAAATACGTTTTATTTAACTTTTAAACAAGAAAAATAAACATGTTTCTCATCAATCAAAGAAGGTATAATATATTATTCCTTAAATTTAAAGAGAAAATCCTCCTAAAAAAATATTTTCATTTGAACCAAACATGCCATCAGGAAACTTGTTTCCAGAATCCAGATGTTATGTTTTAATTATGAAAATTATTTCAAAAACGTTATTGAAATTGTGTGAATTCTTTATAAATTTTTTTTTTTTTTTTTTTTTTTAAATTGCGTTTGAAACGTAAAAACGTTACTCCGTATTTTAAGAAATTTGAGTCATTATTAAGTCATGAAATGATCGATTCCACCGATCAGAAGAGCAGTGGATAGGATTCCTCGGTCAAAGAGTTGACTAGATAGAGATAATATCTAGATTGATGGTAACACGTTGGCAATTATTCGAGTTTGAAGCACAGGAATTAGTGTTTGACCAGGTTGTCCCAACCTTGAAGAAGATGCCAATTTATGACATATATTACAAATCAGCTTTTTTATTTTTATTTTTATTTTTATTTTTATTTAACAAAAATAAAAAATTCACAGACTAACTCGATTCCCTCGGTTACCTTAGAGTCTTGTTTCAATATCTTGTTAGTTGAAAAACCTTAATCGATCAGAAGAAACGAAAAAATCCTTTGTATATATAGTGTACGAGTCAAGGTGAGAATATAGAAACTTCTCCCAGCCTAATAAAGCATTTAGGAAGATGTAATTCACGGTGATTCAATGACTTAGCAATAAGGTTAAATGCCGGTGCACACAAGGGATCTGTTCACTTTGAACATAATCCCACACTGACGCCGTCGAAATTTGAAAACCTTAATCTTTTCCTTAAAATACTGTCTACTGAATCGTTAAACTAAGTTCGTGTGAACTAAAAATCTAGAAACTGACAAAATAATTTGTGATTTATCTCCTTTAGCGGCTCTTAAATAAGGGCGGATGAGGACTCAGAAGTTAGAAGTTAGGATTATTGTAGCATAAGTTGAAATACTTAATATCTACATATATACATATACAAATCTAATAAGAGCGAATAATGTTAGATCCTTAACTGGAACAAAAAAAATGTCGGTACTAATTGTTTCTTAAGATGAATGTTTCATATTATTTTGATTTTAGTATCTTTTAATGATTTTCCTTATTTACCCTCTATTATATATTTTTTTTTTCCTTTAAATAACCCTAAATTCCGTTAGTTTAAACTTTAGTAACGGAATATTCCGTTAACTATTTATTATTCTTAACATACTCTTAATTTATATAAGGTCTTAGGTTTGAACCTCATCCCAAGTATAGTTGGCATAATTGTTAAACATTTATTATGAATATGTTAAAATGTATTAAAAATATATATATAATATAAAATTTAACATAAACTTTGGTCAAATAATTAGCTCGACTAAATACATATCATTCAAAGTTGGGCATCAAAAATTATAAATCAGGAACTACTTTAAAATCATTTGATTTTCTTGAATTTTTATTTTTATTTTTAAAAAAAAAAAAAAAGAAATTTAGGTTAAGTTTTTTTTTGTTTGTTTAATTAATCTTCTTCTGATTATTTAGAACAAAACTTAATATTTCAATTATGCTTTTGCATTATTGGAATGATTTAGGCCATTATGGTATTAATATTTTTTGTATTTTTTTCTTGTAATTAAATATCAAAGTTATAATGCAAAACATGTTATATATATATATATATATATATATATATATATATATATATATATATATATATATATATATATATATTTATTTATTTATTTATTTATTTATTTATTTATTTATTTATTTACCAAGTATTTTATACAAATATAATAAATATTAATATTTTGTTCAATACTTTCACATGATAACCTACAACACACATCTCACAACACATGAAACATGTAGGAAAAAACTTCCACTACTAAATATCAATAGGTGTTTGTACGCTAAAGAGTTCATATTACAACTAAAATCTCAGTCATATACACAGCAAGGCAAATCTAAAACTTCCAATAAATAAATAAATAAAACTTCCTACACCATAATCTCATTGCATGATGAATCCCTCTATGCTGCTACCAGTAACCTAATTGCACATGACACACTACCAATAAATAAATAAATAAAGGACATGTACTGAAGATGAAAACAATAACAATGCTACCCAAAAGAGAATTAAGAAGAATTATAGAAATTTAAACCAAAAGTAGTATTTATTTAGACTATCGCTTTAAGACTAAGTATTTAGACTAACGTTATTACAAAGTTGCAAGCATTTATTTCAGTGATAATTAAAAACAATCTCTCATATATTATCTTACATTTATATACTTTAAATTACCGATTTAAATAAACAAATTCAACATTTATTTACGTATGCATGAACATCTCCTATGTAATATTGCATTGATATACTTTGAAATATTTATTTTAAAAATAATTATTGAGCATTATCCCGCGTAAAAAAACTAGTATAAAAATAAAAATAAAAAGGGATTCATCTGTCATCTTCCATGCACCGCCCAATCGCCAAGGAGGCAAGGACCACTTCTCCACCTCCATCATCTTCTTTCTGGGAATGAATTTGGGAACGTGCGCTTTCACATGCATTCTCTCAGTCCTGACATTCTATTCCCATGTCAAATCTATTTCTCCCACTATTTTTAACATCACACATTATTTATCAGGTCAAAAGCACCATAACGGAATAATTGAACGGATGAAATATAAATTTTGTTTAAAGTTATGAGTTTAATTTTTATCCGTGCTCTTTCGGTCCAACTTACACATAAGACCAAATCGAGCATTAAATAGGCTGGCCACACAACATGTGGAACCAAAACAACCTCAAAAAAAAACACCTAGAAAAGATGCTGCCATTATAAGATCAAGAAATTTACAAGTGAAATTTCCATAACCACAAATTTCCAATCTGAACTCTTCCAACTAGGTATGAACTGTACATTGTATACACCATCCTAGAAACATCATCAACATCTATATCAATTGTAAGCATCACTTATTAAGTTCTCGAAAAAAAAAAATTTTATATTAAACCCTGGACTCAAAAAGGGAGTTTGATCACCTTGAGACTAATGCCGCTCCGGCAGTTCCTGAAACTCGAGAAAAGAAAAAAACAGAAACCGGGAAGGAGCAGCGCGACTGCACAAGACAAAACATGCCATGGGAGAATGGCAATTTACAGGGTATACATGGGACAAAATTGTTAAGGATAAACGAAGAGGGGAGGGGTGCTAAACATTTACATTCACATACAGTGCGAATTTGACAATGCAAGAGAGACTTTACGGGTGATGAGGTTAGCCTTTTGCCGCTTGCTTAGAGTGGCTCGGCCCCCATATGCGGATGGTTTGGTCATCGCTTGCTGAAGCCAACATTTGGTGCCTCGTAGGATTCCAGCTCACACAGTTCACGGTCATCAAATGACCAGACAGGATCTCAAGCGGGTTACAGCTCTTTCGATTCCATATGTAAACCTGCCACGGGAGATGGAATCTTCAATAACTCACTTTGTTTACCAAAAAGGGAATAACATATTGGTCCTAGCCACAATGCAAACATTGATTCTGTTGTTGTATTTTAGCCTCGTTTCAAGAAAGGTTATGTTTTCATCCATCTAAAGATTTAGTTCATCACAGGGCGAGAAGCCATGTCCAAAATGCTAACTTTATACAAACATATATACATGAAGTCTAATTGTATGTTGGGAGAGGCATAGTTATTGTAAACGTAACTATATAAGACTTATTTAGTAATTTGATTAACTGGGGACAAAGAGAAAAGCGGCATACCATTGAATCTTCACTGCCACTGGCAATAAATGTGCTATCCAATCCTCCAAAGCAGGATCGTATCACATATTTATGTTGTTTGTGGCCATTGTACTTGGATGGCTTCAGCCATGCCCCTGCAACATCCCACATATGAATCTCCTGACTATTGAGGTTGACGATGAAGAATTTACCATCCCCCGATACGGAAAGGGACGTGATTGGATGCTCCTCGGCAATGACACGCTCGGCATTTGTTCCCACATTTAGTATTCGGATTTCTTTGTCAGCAAAGATACTAATAAGATTCTCCCCATCTGGTGTAACAGCAAGATCCAAAACCTTCGGCATCCGCATCCCTTTCCATACTTTTATCTCATTACCTTCACAGTCCCACATGTATATGCCATTCTCAGGGTCTGAACTGCCGCAGACAATCCACTTGGAATCTGGAAACCAAGCACATGAGCTGACAATGAAACCGTCATTTCCATATGTATGCTTGAAGGTACCCGTTTCCACGTCCCAAAGTTTGACAACTTCTAAATTTCCACAGGTCAGCAACATGGTGTCGTCGGGGCTCCATGCTACAAAGGACACAGGTTTCTTGTGACCCAGCAACGTGTACTTCTGGGCCACCTTACCATCAGGCAGCACCTATCACAAAATTATCAAAAGTTGGTTCGCAAACTCACATCTATAATATAAGGACGTAAACCTATAGACTACAAGATGAAAAGAAAAATTTATGGCATTAGGCAATTTTCAATCGAGCATGAGAAATTTAGAACATGGACAGTACTAAATACTCCATATCATTTCACACAAAAATGTCAATGTCCAAAATATCCACCGATTTGAGCATATAGTATAGAATCCTAAAAAGAGACTGACAAAATTTTCCAGTCTCATCTGTTTTTCCTATGGGATAAAACATAGGGACCTTCCACAATAGTGACTTTAGTTCACATGTTCCTTTTATATTGTGCAGAGATAGGTTCACCAGCTTTTCAGTTATTCCATACTCCCACTGTCAATTGAAGTAGCTTTTTTTTTCTTTTTTCTTTTTTTATTAATATGAAATTTAATTTTCTTAAAACTTTAAAGAACTTACACTACCCAAGAATCTAAGTGAACTAATAATATGCTATTATTCAAAACTTTAACCTTAACTTCAAGGATTTAATGAACTATACACTTCTACACGTTCCAACATTTATTAACAATTATCACAAATATCTTGAATGTAATAACCTTTATGAATTTCCCTTTTATAATTTGTATGCTTTTCTCCCCAACATGACGGTACTAAAAGTATGGGCTTAATAGCTTTAATGTGGCTTATATCGACAGCAAACTATATAACCAGCCCTGTGCCATCAAGCATTGAGAGCATTGGGTCAACTGTTCATCATTGCAATGCACACACATTGGATTATTGTCATGTGAATTATTCTGAAGTAAACTTTCATCAAATCAAATTGGTAAAAAATGTTCAGCCTCACATAATTATGCAAGCTAGCCATCCCAATATGATGGAAACCAGCCCACTTGCCAGGAAATATTATTTAACATGTTTTGCTTGTATATCTTACCTTTCTTGACCTGGATGTTGAAGATAAAAGTAATTATTTATTTAAACCAAGATTATTATTTCTTCCTACACCTTACTTTCTCGTTCATATATGTGAAGCCAATAATTGATATTTGCAGCAAGTTATAGCTTGTCACAGTTTACAGTGAGGTTACTAATTGCTCGATGTGTACAAACTGGCATAAATAGACATTTAAGAGTTCTGTATCTAGAAGTGCCTAGAAAAATTTCTTCTTCATAGATTCCTCGGGATGCATGCCAATAATTTTTTTACTTTAATAAATAGAGGAATAAAGGTCAAATTGGCCATCCAACTACACAGCAAACTGCAATTGAGCCATTGAACTCAAAGAAATTACAATTTAGGTCCCCGAACAATGCAAAATCATGCAATTCAACCTAAAATGACGTGTTGACCTGGTAATATGCTAACATGGCGGTTACCGATGAGAAGGCAACCAGCCGCCTGCGAACAGGGCTACAGGGTGGGGCTTTTATATATATATATATATATATATATATATATATATATATATATATATATATATATATATATATATATATATATATATATATTTTAAACATCTTCCAACTAACAAATGAAGACCATGAGACCAGTAAAATTGTGGAGCAAATTACTTATTTGCCAAGACGGGGATTTTATCAAATAGTGAATGAAAATGCAGAGTTCCCTCACTCACATTACCAAAGATCTTGATAAGTTTGAAGGAAGTGTCACAACAATGAAGTGATAATCAGCTTCACTACTTCATCCTTGCTCTACAAATCCAATTTGAATGAGCTGCTTTCATTTTTTTGGTTTTTTAAAGGGAATTACTCTTTCTTTGAACCGTAACAATTCACACCTGAAGAATATAAACTAGTAATATTCAAAGTAGAACATGCTACTAGCTTAACCTTATCGATGTGTATCGAATAAATCAATAATGTATTAAGAGTTTTCACACTCAGAAGTTACAAAAGCTGATGTATCTATACAGTGCAATTATTTCATATACTGCCACATGGGAATGCTAATAGCTATGCACAATTTTCAGCCAATTAGTGCATAGTATCATTTATTGCATTCCAGCACTTAAAAGCACTTTGGTTTGCATTCCAGCACCAAATTTAACCAAAACCTAGGTCAGTTACATCAATGAAGCTTATGCATATTAAAGCCCTGTACTTTTCCCCTTTTTTAAACTCATGCCATTTATACCACCTATTTCAGCAACTTAGCCAAAAAAATCCACAAAGTAATGACATAACAAATATGAAGTGCATAGAAACATAGATAAAGCATACCAAGAAAATACCTTCCATATAATTGCTGAACAGTCACTTGATGATGAGGCCAAGTACTCACCGTTATTGGAAAACTGGACATACCAAACTTCATTACCATGATTGCTTAAAATCTGCAACAACATTAAAAGCACTGCTCGTGTTTAAACAGTTGAATGGCAGAACAAAAGGCTGAATATGAGATTGATTATTGTAATTTGCAAGGGATGAAATCTTGTGTCAAGAATCAATAGGATTTACTTGGAGCATTCAATTAAAATTAGCTTTTTTATTATTATTGTCAAGTTAGAGATCATGAACATAAATTTTGTCCCTTTTTGGCTTTAATTCATAAACAAGATGTTAAATTAACACCTGTATGGTCTTCGTAGGAAACTGAGCACGGTCACAGTGGTGATCTTCATAAAGTGACACTGTAGAGAAACTATGGTAGATACAGCTATCAATCTGAGAACTGACAGCCATTTCAACCAAATATTCTAACCGTCTTTGAGGCAACGTGATTGGTGGTGGCAGCACGTTTTCAAGTTCAATCACGAGTTTCTTCCGCAAGTTGGGAATTAAACCATGGTCAAAGTTATCCAACCCTGAATCCTGGGGAGAGACTATCTCGTAAGCAAGTCTATGAATATTCTCCTTCCCTACTTTTAATCCAGCAATCTGTGTCCGCAGCATCTCTAATGCTGCAGAATCATCCCCGCTTTTCAAACACTCTATCAAACACTGCTTGAGAACGAGGAATAAAGCCGAAGCTCTCTTTTCATCAGTTAATCCCTTTAATCCATTAATGCTCACAATACATTCATCCCACTTCGCATCAAGAACTTGTGACTCGATTGTTTCAAACTCCGCGGATTTGCATGAAAGTCCAGACTCAGATTCTAAGCAAGCTGCAGACTTCCCATAACCTAATGAATACAGACACTGAATGATAACTCTCACCAATTCATGTTTCATGATTAGCCGCTTCTCCCCCAATTTTGTCACCGAATCCTCCATTGAATCATCACCCAATTGCCTTAAAATCACCAACTCCCTCTCCCACTTATTCAAACTCGCAAGCCGCTATGATAAAACCCTCTGCATAGCAATTCCAAGTGAAAATTTCACAAACAAATGAGAAACTTTCACAAAGTAAATCACAAAACCGCAAAAACGAACTTGCCATTAATTAGTATATTGAAGAGAACGTATGAATGTACTGCGCACGCATGAATTCATCCAAATAACAACATTCAATAATCGAATCAAACACTGCAAAATTAAACACAATCTTGACAAGAATAGAGATTGAATACAATACCCGAAAACTAATCCGAGACCGAGAAAACAATATTGAGAATTCAGTAACAGCTTTACTGTACGGACTTGAAATCTACGAACAAATGAATTTGCACGAGCTCGCAGTTTCCATTCCAGAAGTTAATAAGCTCAGTGGAGAGTAGAAAGGAAAAAGGGAGCAAATCGAGAGAGTAGATGCATTTGAAGAAGACAGAGACAAAGATCAGAGAGGGTACGAGCCACGTGGACGGATCACAACAGACTCTCGCCCTTCTAAACGACGCCGTATCCCGCGGTGTCATATGGATTCTGCGGGCGCTGCTAGCTTGCCAGCTAGCCCCATGGAGAATACCGTTTTTTAGAATCTAGTGTTTTTTGGGACACCATTATTCAGGGGTTCCTAGGTTTTTTTTTCCTGCTTGTTTTGTTGCATTTAACAATATACTATGTTAATACAATACTATAATCCAAAATTCCATTTTGGTAAATGGAATGTCACCAAATTCAAATTAATTCTATAGTTGTTATAATGAGAATAAAATGTGACTTATAAAGTATTTAGTATTTGTTTTGGATGTGATTATTCATGTTAATTATGAGTTTGTTAATTTTAAGTAAAAGAAATTTGAGTTGGATTTATATCTAGGTGCATATAGCAACAGTATGCAAAGATATTGAATTATGCATTTGCTTTACTTTATTTTATTTTATTAACCAATTGAGTTGGTCAGGCATATGATTTAGAAGTTTTATTAGACTGAGTTGATCAATTATGAGCAACCTAGATATATCATCTATGAGTAACATATTAGTCTTCTCGGGTTTACCCTATGTGGCCTTGGTATTATGAGCTACTTACTGACCGTCTCAATTTAAGCTAGTCATCTATGTAATTCTAGTTTGGTTTATCTCTTTATAGTTATTTGTTGGTTAGGGTTAAGACAATCTTCATCGTTAGACATTCGAGCCTGCATTCAAATTTATTTCTAATTGATCAAGCCTTGTTAAAATGCTTTAAACTAAATGGCCATGTAATAATATTGGGAAAAAAAAATGTCCGGATCACCTCTGAAATCTCATGTGATTTTTGGAACAAACTGTGTCTCATGTCACTAGTCTAAGTATTTACAAATTTTCAGTTAAATGTTTAAGTGTCCAAGCATTTAACCATGTTTCACTCGAACTAACGATTGGTGATTTCTCGACAACGGATATCTCGACTCTCTCATCTATGAAGAACGTAGCAAAATGCGTACTTAGTGTGAATTGCAGAATCCCGTGAACCAGCATTGGGTTATGGGCTTAGAAGCAAATGAGGGCAATTTATATCCTACACCACGGCGCGCGTTACACTATGCGCCCAGATGCAAAACGACGTCGTTTTAATTATTATTTTTTTTGAAATTTCCTGCCCCAGTGAATGGCAGTAGTTTTTTCTTTAAAAAAAAAACCCGCTATTCAAAAATGTATATAATGTTATACTAGAATACACATAATGTTATACATGAATGTACATAATTATATAACAAAATATACATACTCTTTTTAAAAGATAATACACATAATCTAACATAATACATAATAGACATAAACTTTTAACATAATACACATCAACTCTTAACATAATACACACAAATTTTCTGATTCGGATGTACATAATTGTATAAAAAGAATGTACATAATTGTATAAAAATACACATAACTGTAGGAACGAATACACATAACGTTGTGAACGAATACACATAACGTTGTGAACAAATACACATAATCTCAGCAATTTCCTACCGCGCCTCCCAACACTACTCTAAAACAACATCGTTTTGGGAGGCGCGCGGCGCACAGTGCTATGTGCGCCGTGGTGTTGGATATAACGATTGGCAAATGAGTGTGCCTGAATTTGCTATAGTGGGCTTGAGCCCAAGTATCTCGATCTGTAAGATAAACAAAGAAAACATGGAAATCACATTCCGACATTCCAAATATCCAGTGTACAACCGTCACCACAGGAATGGCGACGCTAGGAGGACACTATCACCTATCCGCCACCGCCCTTCCCGGTGGCTCACGGCGGAAGTCATCGGGCTCTCCACTGTCCAGCGTTAACTTCAGTGTCTCTCGTACTAGGTTCTTCAATCTCTTTTAACTTAGCTAGTCTGTTGTTTACGCTGATGAGCTTACTGAAACTCTTGTTAAAATAACGACAGAGTTTTCAAGTCGGAAATGTCAGTTCCGTCGCCCCCCGAAGATCGCATTGTCGTGCGTCATTCTCAAATCTCAATCTCCCTCAATCGATTGCGTTCATGTTCTCCATCTTTTCCAAAAAGATTCAAACTTTAGTTGTGGTTCTGCAGTTAGGCGTTGGAGGTGCGACGGTGGACTTCTTGGCGGTGGTGGCTTCTTACCCTAAGCCCGATGATAAAATTCGAAGCACCAGCTTTGAGGTTCAAGGAGGTGGCAACACTGGAAATGCTTTGACTTGTGCAGCTCGACTTGGCCTTAATCCAAGGATTATTTCCAAGGTTTTCAGTTCATTTTCAGTAGTGATGCTTTTGTGGTTTGATCAGTACTTGAATGTTATGTTATCCATTGATTAATTTTAGTTATAATTAAAGAGTATCCATTGCCAATATCTCCAATTAATAGAAGTTGAAAAACCTCAACTCGAAGAAGCAAGACAATATCTGCAAATTGGGAAATTTGGTCGAGAATCTGAGAAGTAAATAACAAGATTCAGAATTCAACATTGTTATTATTGATTATTTCTATATTTATGAAGTAGAAAAAATCAGGTTGTTTCTTTATTCGAAACTGATTTAGTGTTATTTCCTAATCACCATTTCACTTCTAAGCCGCTTACTATGGTACATTGAATACCTTACCATTTCTGAACTTTAATAGGTTGCTAATGATGGACAAGGCAAAGGAATATTGGATGAACTAGATGGGGATGGTGTTGACACGTCTTTCATGGTGGTAAGTTCTTAGTACAAATGTTCATCTTATAAAGTTTAGAGGATCGAGACAACTATGGTGTTTGCATTTTCATTTTAGGTATCCGAGGGAGGCAATTCACCTTTCAGCTATATCATTGTTGACAGTCAAACGTGAGTACCCTGACTTTTGTTTCTGTGGTATAGTTGTGTTTGTTATTGAGGCATTAGTCATATGACGGGCCTTTTTAGTTTGATGGCTTTAACGTTTGAATCTTTCTTGTTAGCCTGTACTGAAAATTGCAAGAAAAGTTGGATTCTAACTAATGCTACTATCTTCTTAGTTCGATTCATCTATACAGTCTGAGGATTTTCTGAGATTCTTTTGAACACATTGCTGTATCTCTTGAAAGAAAAGTTGTTCTTTGATGTTTCAGGAAAACTCGCACTTGCATACATACTCCAGGAGAGCCACCCATGAAACCAGAAGAGCTATCCCAATCACATTTGCTATCTGCTATTGATGGAGCAAGAATTGTCTATTTTGATGGAAGATTGTATGAAACTGCTTGCGTTGTGGCAAAGGAGGTACTTGACATTACACTATTTGTGCAAGTTACTCTGTGCTGTCAAATGAACCTCGCTCTTCTGTCATTTGGTTTTGTAGTATATTGACACCTCCATAATCTTTAATATGCTAATTTCATTTCAGTTTTTCATTTGTACTTTGGTTGCCGTTGGAAAAATGGAAGTAAGTTGCACGTTCTTTTTTGGATTTCAGTGCAGGCAAGTAGTAGGAGCATACCCATTTTAGTTGATGCGGAAAGGGCAAGGGACGGACTGGATGATCTTTTGAACTTTGCTAGTTATGTTGTATGCTCAACAAAGTTTCCACAGGCAAGCTCTTTAGCGTAATGCTCTTTGGCTGCATTCATTTACATTGGTTGACTCTAGTCTTAGAAACCAAAATGTTATTGGGGGCAACCCTAGCCAAGTTGGTCAGACTGTTGGCTTGATAACCACAAGATTCCAAGTTCAACTCCTAGTGGGAGCGTCCTATTAGCTTTCTTGTTTTCCTTGTCACCCCAAAATAAAAAATGTTGAGTTATTTCTTTGCAACTTGAGCATTGGTTTACCTCCTCGGGTAGTGGCTGCGGGTTTTCCTTGTCACCCCAAAATAAAAAATGTTGAGTTATTTCTTTGCAACTTGAGTTATTTCTTTGCAACTTGAGCATTCACTTTCTTGCAGTTATACTTTGTTATGTGGTCTCCTCGGGTTGTGGCTGCGGGTTTTCCTTGTCACCCCAAAATAAAAAATGTTGAGTTATTTCTTTGCAACTTGAGCATTCACTTTCTTGCGGTTATACTTTGTTATGTGGTGATTGAGACAGTAAAATATGTTTGCCTTTTGCAGGCATGGACCGACACCCCTACTCTTCCAAGTGCACTTATTTCCATGCTTATACGATTACCAAATGTAAAATTTGTGGTTGTGACATTGGGTGAAGAGGGTTGCATAATGCTAGAAAGGACTGAAACTGGTACGTCTACACACTTCTGGCTTTCTGGCTTCTTTTCATCAAAGTTTCGGAAGTATATTTGTGTAGAAAGAGATGGCATCTAAAGAAATGACCATGGTTGTATTAACCTGCTAATATCTTTTTAAGATTATAATATACTTTTGCAGAGTCCACTCAATATGAAGAAATAGATATAGACGATTTGTATGAAATACTGAAGCAAAGGAAGGATGCTAACACAACCATCCCTACATGCATACCATCGGTAACTTTCTTCATTTGAAGGATCATTTCCTCGTCAAAAAACTCTAGTAATGATCAGTAGACCGGAGTCTTGCTTAGAAACTACATGCCTGTCTTTGTGGCTATAGTTTTATGGAAAGTTCTAGTTTTTGCATCAAAATCGTACGTTATTACTTATGGAGTAATGTATATAAACACTTACAGAATGTGGCAAAACTGCGAGCAAAGGGAGTAGGGATGGTTTGTGGTAGGCTACTTCTGGGAACAACTGAAAAGATACCGCCTTCTGAATTAGTTGATACAACCGGTGCTGGAGATGCATTTATCGGTGCAATCCTTTACTGTATGTAAAATTACTTTACCTAATAAAACCATTTTATCTTCTATAATTGGAGTTGGCAACACCATAAATCACGCGATTCTCCATGATCTTTCTGCAGCAATCTGTGCTGATATGCCCCCAGAAAAGATGCTGCCATTTGCTGCCCAAGTGGTTAGTACTTACTACTTACTATTTGATCCTTGTTTGTGGGGAAACCTGAAAAGCTCACTTATGATTTCCGGTGGCGATTTGCAGGCAGCTATCGGTTGCAGAGCCTTGGGTGCCCGAGCTGGTCTTCCCCGACGTGATGACCCTCGCTTGACACCTTTTTTAGTGTAGGAGGGCGCCCGAGGGGTGCCCACAATATTGGTCTAGCAAGTCACAGAAACAAAAGGATTGTGCTTTTTCTTGTCATGTTCTTGTCCGGGTTTCTCTGGACTGACATTCTGTTTGGATTGTTACAATGTCTTACTCAATGAAATCGAATGCTTTTTCGTTACTCTTAAGAGTAAGAGAGAACATATGAGTTTATAAGACCTTGGTTAGATTCAATCTTTTACTGTGGTTTGACCCATGTGCATTATAGTCTGAGTGATTTTAGCCTAATCTTAATTTATAACATGGTATCAAAGCTTGATCAAGAGATCAATGTTTCAAGATTTGGAAGGAAAATACCAAATTGAGCATTAACTACTTTCTGTCCTTTTGACAACAAAAACCAATAATAACATACCCACCATACCAATGTTCTACAGACCATAATTTACAGCAAAAGAGAAGCAGTTGAAAAGGTCTAATGATCCAATTCCTAATCCTATCAAAGAAACTGTTGTTTTACAGCAGACTGTCAGCTCTGGTGGGCAGCCTCTTGAAGAAACTGACAGTGGGTGATGGCAGCCTGTTTCTGAACTTGGGTGGCCTTAGCAAGTAAATCCCCCAGAGAGCCACAACCAACCTAATTGGCACCATGTAGAACCCGAATGCCGCCACGAAGCAGAACATCACGAACAAGAACGTGGCTCTCGGGTCACGCCAGCTCAGCAGCGACTGGAACCTCTCCCCTTGAGTCGCCATGTCACCCACCACGGTCTGAATCCTCCCGGCCACGCTCCTCAACCGGTCGTACCTCAGGCGGACGACCTCCGCGTTCCTGCTCGAGGGGAAGGAATCGAACTCCTCGTCCAGCTCGTCGGGGTGCACGTTCTCGGCATAGGATAACCGCGTGTCCATGTGGGGAGGGAGGCGCGGGCGGGACCTGTAACGCCACACCCCCGTCACCGCCATGGTTAGGAACACGAACGGGATTATAAGCTCGGGGATGATGACGAGCACGAAGAAGGTTATCAGAAACAGGGTTGAATTCACTGGCTTGTTCCAGTTCCTCAAAGACTCCAGCAGCCTGCTTATGTTGAAACCCCAGGCTAGAATCCCTCTCAGCCTGAAAAAATTAGCCTTGCTCTTCCTCATGCTCCACATATGAGAATCATGGTCAAGCATATACTCCACAACCTCCCGCCCGAGAGGCGGCTCCGCCCTGCTCATCCTCCCCGCCACCACGTTCATCGCCTGGTACCGCAGGCTGTCGAGCTGGTTCACGGACAACGGCTGCACATAATGCATCTTCGGGAGCAACGGGATGGTGTACATATGCAGCATATTCACCATGTTAGAACACGAAAACCGAACCGCCAAGTGAAGCTCCCCCATCTTCTTCACCCCGGAAGGGTGGAGCATGAGTAAGGGATATGCATTGGTGTAGACTCTATCGGTCTCGAGAGTCGACAGCCGGATTCTCACCTTCCCAATCCTCGGGTCCCGGGGGCTACTCCCCGGGGCTCCGGCCATGTTCTTGTCCACCCGGGAATTATCAAACACCCCGATGGTGATCACCGTGCAAGGATCAAACACTTCCCATGTATACTGCTCGTTCCATTTTGGCGCCATGCTATCCACCACGGTCCTGGTTCGAACCCATTTTTGGCCATATTTAGCAACGCAATAAGCATCCGTGGAGCCTCCTTTCCCCTGCTTCATTTTCATTGGAACAACATTAGTAGCTCCCAGGAATCCCACTTCGAGAACTCCTATGTGAGGCTTCCAAAGCTGCTTAGCCGTCGGCCTGACGTCGCTGCTGTACATTGTGGCCTCATCCAGGACATGATACCCGCCGTCCAAGGACGCCCGGAGGTGAATCCTCGACGCGAATCTCACCGCCTTGGACTGATCGTTAGGGTTGTTGTTGAAATGAAGGTCGAGGTTGAACCACTTAGGGGCCAGCGGTTTCTCGTTCAGCCGTCTTTCTACGCAGGAAACCGGGAAAAAAAGCCTCCCGACAACCTCGTCTCGGTTGGAAGCCACATGATCTTCAACCGAGATTAATACTAAATCCTCAAACGGCTCTGCAACTACAAACATCAAGTCCTCGTTCCAGAAAGGATTCGACAGAGTTCTATTCGCCGCAGGGACCGAAACGCGTGTCCTTAAAACCTGACTCCCAACCTGAACTTTCACGAAAAGCTCAGGGTACCTCATTATCGACGACCCTTTTTCTCCCAGAATAATGTCCTGCGCTTCAATCACTCCCACTCTCAAGTACCAAAGCTTGGGGGAAAGATAAACCTTGGACTTTATCGAACCCAGACCGTCGAATGCAACGTTGGCCGCCTTCGAATGCCAGGCCTCGGCGAAAGCTTCGTCGGCTTGGGTTCCGAACCAGGTGGAAACCATGATTTCGCCACCTTTGGATTTGTCGCCTTTCTTGTCTTCCGTTCTGTACCACTGCGGCGCCAGTTGGCTGTCCGGCGGGAGCCGCTTGGGAACCTCATTTAGGTCGAACCAAACGCGGCCTAAGAAATCGTCTTTGTTGGTTTCCCTGACGAAGATCTCGACGAACGAGGATTGAATGCTGTCCTTGGAGAACGCGAAGACCTGGTCCCACTCCGCGTTGGCGGTGGTGGGGACTCTCTTCGTGATTCCTCTGTAGTTCCCTAGCTTCACCTCGGCGACTATGTCCCCGCCGCCGAAGAGATGAAAGTTCTGGGCTTTCACCACTCTCACGTAGAGATACTGCATTTGCTCTACGAGGTCGTAGGTTGAGCTTGTCTTGTCTTTGTTTAACCCGCCCAGGTGCGGGCTGGTTTCTTTCAGTGAATACTCGTTTTGTGCGGCGCCGCCGGAGTAGACGCCCATCCCGGCCATTCCGGCGGCTCCGCCGCCGACGCCCACGGCGGGAATGGTGGGGCCGGGGACGGCTGCTATAACGACCGGCTTGATGTCTCCCGGAGTGGGGTCCACCGGCTTGGAAAGACTCTGGTTTTGAGGGTTCATCAGTTTGTTGTTATCCTGGCCGCCGAGCTGAACCACCATGTTCGTCCCCGCCGCCGCCTGCTGCATCTTCTTGCTCTTTTTCCCGTTCGGCGTCACGTTGAATGAAACCACACCCTCTCCCCCGCCGCCGTTGAGAACCTGTTGTGAAAGAATAAGTTTTATTATATATATATATATATATATATATATATATATATATATATATTGAATATACAGGTTCTATACCGGTTTCGATTCCTTGGTGGAGAGATAAAGCTTGAGGCTAATCTCCCCTCGAACGTGCGAGAAAAGGCTCCGCTTCTCCAGCGTGTACAGCTGCGTCGGAGTCGCCTCCTCCCCTTCCCGGGGCACGCTCGACCCGGAAACGCAGACCCGCCCGAGGAAGTTCCGGCTGTTGGTCGACCGCCGCTCGTTGAAGACGTTAACCTCCACGCTCCGGTAAGGCAGGTCCGCCACGTCGTTAACATGGAAAACAAGCTTTTCGTTCCAAACCGGGTTCAAATCCCGGTGCTTCACCTGAGTCCTTTGTCTCTGGTTCTCAAACTCAACCTCCACGAACGCCGACGACGACCCCTCCCCGTCTTTCGGCATCAGGTTGTGCGCCGCCACCACCTCCACCACCAGCCTCTCCTTCCCGCCGTTCATTTCCGCCCCCTCTCTCTCTCTACCCCAAACAGAAAAACAACAAACGTAAGATAGAAAATCCCAAGTGTATTATGTATATACTATACTGAATAGTCTTAGGAGTCAGAAGAGAAGAATGAGATTACATCAGTGTACTGACTGGAAAAAGAGCTGGATTAGAGTATGAAGGTGAAGTGAGAGAGAGAGAGATACTAGATTACAGACAGAAAGAGAGAGAGAGAGAGAGAGATTGGTTTAGTGTTTTCTGGCATATTACATTGATGACCAGACAGTAATAAATGAGTTAAAACAGGGATTGGGTCGTTATGACGGAGCATCGACTTGTTTCGTTACTCTCGAGCGCCCTGTTTGCCTATTTGGCTATTTGTGTATTACTATTTTTTGTTCTTTTGTTGTAATTATGTAAGTAATGTAACCCAATACGTTTTTTTTTAAATAATAAGGTTTCACCATTTTGTGTGGAAACAAACAAGGCACTACGCGAGAACTTAACCGAGGTGGACGGACTACGATGGCTGACAGACGGGAGTTATTAATTTGCAGCGGCGCGTGATAGAATCCACAGAGACTCCCAATTACTTAGTTACACGAAGAAGGAAACGAGTTGTCTGTCCGAGGTTCTGTACAGTGTTTGAACCCAGTTTCTGCCCTCTTTTTTTTTTTTTTTAAATTATTTTAACAAAATGTTATTTGTGTTTTTGACCATTTATGACGGGATTATAGGATAGCATGTTGTGTTGATGGATATTAGTCTACACCGGCTTAGCTCAATAGTTCAATAGTATTTGAGATAAGAGATTAAGATTCAAAATTTAGTGGGAGAGAGTGTGGGATTTTAAAGTGAGAAGATTCAGTGTGCACACCCGCATTTACTTTTGTCAGCTGAGTCGTTGAGTACCGGTGATTTACATCTTTCAAAATATTTTGTCGAATCGGGTGTGGATGGCCTTTGGAGTTGGGGATTCAACCTTTTCAGGAGAAGACAACGATAGTAGGCTCACACTTCATGTATAGGGTTGTTATACCATAGATCAAGGTCCACCTTGCACTTTGCAATGTAGACCCTGGTCCTACACGACGTATAAATTGTGTATTTTTAATATTGGAATTTTGAACTTTTAAAATATAAATTGTATTTCTAAGTCAAAACACATCACGAATTTGTGAATACAATACAAGGTCATCAAATCCTAATCTGTTAATATTGTGTGACTGCAGTATTTAAACATATATGTTAACATTGTGTGTTCATAATATATCAATTGTAAATTTTTAAAAGATAAATTATAAACATTTGGACCCAAATTCACATTGGATCCGCATAATCATTTGCCTCATGTATCAACTTCCGATGATTAACTTATTTTTCTTAGTTAAAGACAGAAAAGTAAACATAATATTCTTCTTATTTTTTGTAAGGTTTATGAGTTTACCTAAATAAATTTATTTACTTTGATATCCTTTCTTAGTTTCATGCACAAAACTTGCACGGACAATTCAGATTATCACACAGCGATTGTGATTTATCTATTTATTATCCTATTATATCGGGATATTGAGAGATATTTGGAGAAGTGATTTCATC